CTCCGCCCGCGAGCCGGCCCGCCCGCCGGGGAGCCGCTGTCCCGGGCCTGGCCCGCGCGTGTGTGCCTGCTGGACCTGGGCACCGGCTGCTTGCCTGGGCACGGGACTGGGCGGGGGTGCTGACCTCGGCCTAGAAGGCCTGGGAGCCCGGAGCCACCCGCGCCGGCCCGTGTTTGCGAGTCACACGCCCTCCCGATCCCCCGCTGCTCTCCGCTTCTAGGCGGCGCGAGGTCGGGCGCCCCCCTCCTTGACTCCCTTCTCTCCTTCGCCACTGGTGCCGGCGGGAGAGCCTGCCCCCCGCCCCTACCGCCGGGGCGTAGCGGGTGCAGAGCTGACAGCAGACCCGCAGCCGGCTTGCCTAAACTCTCCGGAAGCAGCCCGAGTAGACTGACTGGGTGCTCAGGCCGCCAGAACCCCGCGGGCCCTGCTCCCGCGTCCAAACTTGGAGTGCTTGACCTTTGACTGTCGGAGGAGGTGGTTGGACAGCTGCGGCGCTGCGAGGGCATCTTGCCCGTGGTTTCGGGACCATCGGCTCTATTCCCAGGCTCCTGGCTTTGCCTTTGGGATCCCGAGGTGTCTACATCAGGCGCATGTTCACCGAGTCCCGGAGTCATGGATGTGTGCGCGGGTCTTGCCCTGTGGCTCCTCTGGGGGCTTCTCCTGCATCAGGGCCAAAGCCTCAGCCATAGCCACCATGAGAAGGCAACCAGTGCAGGGACCAGTCCTGAGGAGTCCACCGCCGCAGGTAAGGCCTTGCCAAGGTTTGGACCCGACTGGGGGCTGTGATTCAGAACTGAGGGATCCCGAGTGGCAAGTCGATCCTAGGCTTGCGGACCTAAGCACTTGGTTAAGGAACCACTCTTTTCCCAGAAACCCAAGGAGTTTTCTCTGTTGAAGAGTCTTAGCCATTGTTTCTTTTCTTTTTTTTTTTTTTTTTTAACAATTCTTATCTGTCTTAAGAATATCTTTTGTTGGCAGTGAGAAGAGGCCTGCTTTTGGAGTACCTTGGTCTTTCAGACCAGCAAGCCAGGACGAGTAGGCAGCACTACCTGAAAGAATGATCTGGCCATTGCTCCTGATCGTTTGCAGCACTTGGCAGCACAGGGGAGGTTGAGGCTGCTTGGGTTGGGCAGGGAAAGTAGGGGCTGGACCACTTTATTGGCTGATAATAGCCTGGTGTTCTGGTCGGCCTTTCTAACCCAACAGCCATGAGAACTCAGTCCCTCCCTTTCCTTAGGTACTTTGCTGTCTCTAGGCTGTGCCCATTTGAAATAGCAAGGCAATTCCTTAGAACTGTTTACCACCAGAGAGTTAAATTTTTTTTAAAAACATGAACGTGGTTCTGATTCTCCAGACTACTTCTTGAGTTACTCTGTTTCTTCTGACTGGTGAAGATAGGCATTCGTTATTTTGTGGTCTATCTTGGTTTTTCCCTGAGCACTTGTGTAGGTTTTTCAGGCAACAGAGGCCCTGGTGTTTTGTTGCAGCAGTAGAGAGCACTTTTAAAGTTCAGTTGCTTTACCCAAGGCTTAAAAGGAGAAGATCAGTTCTTCCGCACTTCTGTCACCCTGTTGCTGTAATCAGCCTAGAGCTGTGGCACTGTAATTTGTGGAGAACTTATTATAGTTGTTTCTGAGGGCAGCCAAACTCAGGAAACAGGGACCACTCAGTGGGTATCCACTGAGATAAGCAGGAAAAGGAAATAGAGATCATAATTACTGGAGAGTTTGTTTCATGGATGGATCCAGAGGCTGGCATTGGTAATAGACTTTCTTGGACAAGTCCTTTTCGCTCCGATTCTCTTAGTGTGATCCCAGAAGCCCCAAGGGCTGTTTTTCAAAGGAGACCACAGTTGCCCTGTGTTTAAACAAGCCTGACACTGGGACTGTTGCTTTAGAGGAGGGCTGACACCTCTTACAGAGAATTGGCATTTCCACCCCAGATTTACAGAATTTGTCTTTTAACAAGATCCCCAGATGATTCACCCTTCTTTGAAAATAGGTTCTTTCTGTATGTTACTCTTCTTTGCTTGGGGAATCTCCTCTTCTTTCCCCTGAAACTTAGTGCAAAGTTCAGCTCTAAGTGCGTTGTGAAGGAAAGGACTAATAGGCCAATGTAGATTGAACAGTGAAAAAGACCTCAAGAGCGTCTCCATTTTCCCAGTGACATCCCTGCTTGTCACTATCAATATGTCCCTTTTTTTAACCCTAAGAATTAAATTTGAATGACAAACCTAAAATTTATGTTTTGAGGAGATGTGAGGCTGTTCTGTATTTTAGACATAAGCTCAAAGGATGAGTTTTGAATTTTAAGCATTAAGAAGTTTTTATGCTACTTCTCCGACTAAGAGAAGCGTCATCCCTCGTAACACCCTATGGCTTGATTTTATGGAGGCAGATACTACTTCCACACAACTGACTGAGGTCTGTTTGGCAGTGCCAGTTGGATCACTGAGCACTTCTTTGGATCTTATCTACATTTCTGCTCCAAAATTGGTTTCTGTTGTTACAATAATATTGAACCCCGGGGATAAGAGGCTTAAAGGGAGACCTTTAGTGCTGGGAATGGCTGTAACTGAGGGAACTCTAGACCCCAGAACTACTGTTACTGTTCTGGTATATCGATTATCCCCTTGGACCTGTCTGGGACCTGATAGGATCTGACTTAGGGCCTCATTTTTGTAGAGGGCCAGCATTTTCGCTTGTGGATTGGGCTTTGCAAAAAGTTTAGAAAAAGCTTTTGATGTAATTAGGAACTCTTGTGGCTGTTCCACCACCAATGTATTTTTGCTAGAATAGGGAGCCATGGAGTGGCATTTGGTTGCCCTTGAAACTACAACTTTTTAAATTAAGTTTCAAAATACCAAGTCAATTTGTATGTTCTGTACGGTTTCTGTTTTATAGATATACAGCTATTTTTCTTACACATTCTTATGACAGTCTTTGCAGCGCGAGGGCGTTATGAGTCAGGTAATATATGAGTGAAAAAACTGGGTCCTGTGTTCTCTCTTATAGGCAGGCCTTCTAATGCTTAAGTTCTCGACTATTTCCATCTTTTCTAGCTCTGCCCTCTGGCCTCTGATGGGGCCAGGAGAACATTGCTTTACTCCTGGTGAGTTTAAGCAGGCACTGATGGCTTTTTAGCTGAAATCCAAGAAAAGTGCTGTATTTTCTTCTTTAAAGTCTTCTAAAGGGACTCAGAGAATTGGTGGTTTGTTCCCCAACCCCGTTTAGTTAGTTAGAAAATTTGATTCTAAGAAGAATTTGATCAGAGTACTTGTGGCCTTACCATGAGAATATGAAATGCTTAAAAACCTGACCTTGCAGTGGAAGCAGGTGCAGTGCTATGAAACCCTCTCACGGACAGTGGAGAAGCTGTTCTCTTTCCACCTTCGTCGAAGCCTGCTGAGTTGGCTATGTCACTTTCTCAGTGAAAGCTTGTGCCTAATTGAGGCCTGCATTTCTGGAGCTGGTCTGATATGCTACTTGGCTTACTCAGGCTGTGGATTTATTGCCTCCCAAAATCTACAGTGTTTCTGTAGAATTCTGTGAGGAGTCTCAAATGGATCTTGGGCTGTGGTGGCCGGTGTTGCAGGTTGAGGGCCTCTGATCCAGACTCGTGGTTTGGCTCATTACAGCTAGAACAGGACTTTTGAGGAGAGGCATGGGGCAGTGTGAGTAGTCCCTGATAGAGGGAGAAGCCTGAGACTTGCCTCCACTCTCCTACTTTCTGCTGCCTCTAAAACTATAAATGGCCTAGCCATCTTGGTAAGGATGCTATTTTTAGCTGAGATTGGCTTCCAGAACTGGGATAGGGCCAAGGACAGGTAGGTGGGGCTTGGCTGAGGGTAATACTAGGGGCTTGGGAGAGGGTCAGATTAATCCTGGAATAGGCAGGGTATCATCTGCTCCCAGGCCTCAGCTTGACTGTCATCCTTAGTAAGGCTAATTGATTCAGTGCATATTAAACAGTAACAGTTGCACGTGCTTTTTAGTAAAAAAGTTACTGAATGTCTGTTCCAGACAGGGATTATATTTGGTATTTGGGATATAAGGGCAAACAAAACAAAGATATTCTCTACCTTCACAGAGTTTACAATCCAGTGGAAGAGAGGGAAAATAAAAGATATATTATTTTAAGTACTGTGGAAGAAAAATCATAAACAAGGAATTGTGATAGAAAATAGGAGGTGGATGGAGATGTAGCTGAAGTAGAAACCCAGTGCCTCGTCAAAAAAGTTACTGCTGTTGGGTTGATTCCAATTCATAGTTGCTTCACTGTCCATTGGGTTTCCAAGGTTGTAAGAGGGAGAGAGGACTTCCCATCTTTCTCCTGGGGAGCCACTGTTGGAGTCAGACCACCAGACATGCACAGGCTTTGGGTTAGTATCACAGCTTGCTTCTGTGCCTCATTGTTGTGTACCGTTAAGTCAGAACTGACTCGTAGCTGACTCTCCATGGGGTTTTCAGAGGCAGTAAATTGCATGGGAGGAGATTCCCCATATTTCTGCCCCAGAGCAGCTGGTGGATTTGAACCACCTGCCTTCAGTGGTTCACATTACAACTCACCACTATGCCACTGGATCTTCCTATCATTGCTTAATAGGACAGATTACTACAGTAACATGATAATAGTAATAGCAATTTCATTTTTTTGTGTGCTTACTATATGCCAGCCATTATTCCAAACATTTTATTTTATTTAATTCTAAGAATCTTCCTGTGTGATAGGTATTATTTCCCCCACTTTATATGTATATGAGAAAATTGAATTTCAGAGAGGCTAAGTAACTTGTCCAAAGTTACACAGATAGTAACACATAGAGCTAGAATTTGGATCCAAGAAATATCATTCTTCTTCCTACCCTGCTTGTTTCTATCCTCCTTCAGCTATGATATATGCTCTGTCAGAATTTTGTCATCAAGACTGTAATAGAGGTATCCTATGGTACATCCAGAAGGAGCCCTGGTGGCACAATGCCTAAAATACTTGGCTGCTAACAGAAAGGTAGTCATTTGAGTTCACTAGCTGCTGTGTGGTAGAAAGATATGGCTGTTTGCATCTGTGCAGATCTTGGAAGCCCTGAGATGCCAAACGGACTCTAAGGCAGAGGGTTGGTTATATGTGCACAAAAGGCATCAAGAGGCACTGGGGAGGAAGTGACTAACCCGGCTTGGGAAAGTTGGGGGAGGCTTTGCAGTTTCCCCCATAATTTTTCTTAGATCTTGAGAGATGAAAAATGTCTGTCTAATCTAAGAGGTTGGTTCCACACACTCACTTTTACATATGAAGAAACTGATGCTCAGGGAGAGCATCAGATAGAGACTCCACAATGAGTTTTTGTTAGAACATAGACACTTAAGTCAAGGATCACAATTTAATTGCTGTTCAGCTTACAGGTTCATGAGTGCCTACTGCTTACTTTGGAAGGAGGAGTGGCATCCACTTCCTTATTAGCTTGTCTCCGGAAACCCTATAAACCTGGAGAGAGGATGAGAGACACCCAAGTGTCGAGGACTATCCTTCATAGGGTCGCTATGAGACTCAACAGTACTTAACAACAACAACTGTTTACTTTGCCTTATGAAGTTAATGAGGGGCTACCAAAGAAGTCTAAGTCTGGTGGGACCATATATATTTACAGCCTTAATGAAGTACCAGGCAAGTGGAACAGAAAATATCTGCTGAGGGCTGAAAGAGATCTGTGTAGGCTGGGCTTAGGTGGCTTCCTGGAAGAAGAGTGTG